CGGAGTGCCATCCAATCTCCATATGATAACAGAAACTGTGCCGAGGTATTTTAAATTAACGACCTCCGGAAATAAAGAAGCTGGCAGTGTGTCTGCATACATATCAAACACATCAGCACACCCATCACTGAAATGACACGATATGTCAAATTAGTAGCCGAGCCCATGATAAAGAAGCATGCGGAACCGGTCCGGACTAGATATAATTAAAACCGGATTGTTCCGCGTACGCATCAAACACTGATGCGATTGACAAAGAAAAGATACCAACACTACAAAAACTGTAGTGTACCACAAGAGAGACACTATAAAATATACCACACGATCATTAAAAAGCTATTTGTATTTCAGACCGATACATAACCATAGAAAACACATGTAAAAGCATAGATAGGGGTTTTTGGAGTATATAAGGAGCACACTGGCAGGTCAAAAGAAAGGAATTGTACCCCGTTGACCAGCTAGTTGTACTCCAAGTAGAGACTTAGGAGGTGGACAGTTGTAATCAATTAAAGGAGATTTCTTCATGGCCAGAAAAGTACAGTGTGAACGAAGCCAGTGTGCTTGGGAGTCAACTTACTTGGAGACTTGAATAAGAGGTTTTAAGCACAGTATCATTTAGACGAGACAGTGTACTTGTATCACCAGTTTTGGAGCATAGTGACATAATAAAAAGCTCAAGGGAGTTATAAAAGTCCGATAAATCCGTGTTTCGTGTCAATAAAGAAAACTGTGTTCAAGAACTTTACATTTGACCAACCAGGTTCCCCAAAAGACATACTTTGTTCTATTGAACTATTCTAATACCACACCCAATAATAAAACCCCATTTTGAGACAAAAACTCTTGAGACTTAAACCTAAGAAGACAAAAGTGGTATTTCTTAATACCAATGGCCCTCGAACTCGTGCACTGAGATTGTGATAGTGTGTGTGTGTGTGTGTGAGTGAGTATTAAGGTGTTTAGGGTTTTCCCGATGCGCTTGATCCTTGTTTGCGTGTTTTGCACTTTCACGGTCATCCCCGTGCAACGTGTATCATCTGGAGCCCACCGCGAGGGTCAACCTATCAATGACTTGGTCAGAAAAGGTGCTCCTTTTGAATGGGGACCTGCCCAAGAAGAATCCATGGCAGAACTCAAGAAGAGTCTCAGAGAATGTCCTGCATTAGTGCCTTTAGATTACCTTAACAATCCCAATCCAGTTGTATTAGCAGTAGACACCTCTTGGAAGGCTGTTGGCTTTTACCTCTTTCAAGATGACAAAGACACAGGAAAAAGAAATTATGCAAGGTTCGGTTCTATAACCTTGAATGACAGAGAAGCAAGAATGTCACAACCTAAGAGAGAATTATTTGGTCTACTGAGAGCTCTTGAAGCTGCCTCTTATTGGTTACTCGGTGTTCGACGCTTAATAGTGGAAACAGATGCAAAGTACCTTGCTGGAATGTTAACAAATCTGGGAATGGGACCTAATGCTACTGTAAATAGATGGATTGACAAAATCCTCATGTTCCACTTTATGTTGCAACATGTGAAAGGTAAGACCTTTGGAGCAGATGGGCTTTCTAGAAGAGATTGGCAGCCTGGGGATGAAGTTTATTCAAACTCGGAAGAAAATTTGGATGAACCAACTGGCACCTTAGAAGTATTAGCAGACCCGAATGGTGGCGAACCACCTTTGGAATTTGAAGACTTCAAGGACCAGATAGATACTCATGGGGTTATGTTCTGTCCT